TATGATAATTTTAAATTTTAGGGATACTTGTTCCCACCCGCCCCACAGGCCAATCCAAATGTTTTTTTTAACATAAAGTGCTATGGTATTGGTCACATCACATCTAATAATGCAAAAAAGTGATCAACTTTGTAAGGGTAATATCATTAACAAGTTCTCCCCTTATCTATACTTAGTTTTTAAAATTTCAACCACCTTCCATACAAATATTATTAGATCATACGGCATGCATGTTACTTGATAACTTCTTAAAAATTAAAAAAAATGTAGTTTAAATGTATGATTTAACGGGAGAAATTATATTCGAATATCGAGGATGATATTTTTGGAAAAGATGATCAGGAAACTCTAATAATAAACAAGCAAGATAGATTAAAAAAAAGTAAAATTTTCCTTCGGGTAAGTTACTAAAATAAGTGAATGATTAAGGTCAAGAAATTGGAATAAATAACAATTCAAGCTACCTAGGGTTCGTATCACATTTCAAAATAAAGCATTACATGCTCAAAATATTAAATATATTCTAGCACTAGCAGCCCATTCAATCACCTAATAAAAAAAGATATATTTCAAGATCAAATGCATGAATGGTAATGAAAAATCAATTTATCACTACTATTTTAAATTATTTTTTATCATGAAAAAGCCTAAGGATAGTGGAATTAAATATTGCATAGACTTTTTACATAACCATCGATCGTCACCATAGTAATATGTAGTTAGGTAAAACCGTGTCTGCATAAGCAGGATATGAGCTGTTATACAGAAGGAGCCTAAGATAAATAAGTTCATTAGGGGACAAACCCTAAAACCAGATATGAGGGATTGGAGGGGATGGAGGGGAAACTCGTAAATTGTTTGAATATTACTCGGTTAAAATTCAATTAACGCTAGATTTAGGTTGACTCGATTCGAATTCGAGCTTGACTCTGGAGTCTAGACCTTAATAAAATGAGTCAGGTAAGATATAATTCGATTCGATAAGTTTACGAGAAGTTCGTTAATCTTTTTTTATAATTTATTAATAATTACCTTAAAAATATTTTATTAAAAAATATAATTAATTACTAATTTATTAGCAAATAATAAAAATGATGTTAAATTACTAATTAATAATTACAACTAATTTGATAATTAAAATTTAGTCAGGACGAAGTCTTGGAACGTGAGGGTAATCAAAAAAAATAATTATAAGTCATTTATTAATTTTCTAACAAACAACAAGAAAGATACTAAATTATTAATTTATTAGATTTTACATAGTGGGGTCGAGTCAAGTAGAGTAGCAAGTTTTTTTAATAAGATCGGGTCGGGCAAAATTTTATCGAGCTTAACAATCATGAATCGAGTAAAATTTTATATAGCTTAACAAGAAACAAGTCGAGTTGAGCAACAAATATATTTAACGAGTACGAGTCAAGCACTCAACTGACGATCAACTTGCTCGATAAATACCTCTAACCCTAGTGTTTCCATCCGGTCGGTAACAACAAAATCTATAACCTTTGAAAAATCTTTAGCTTATATATATTCATGGAACCGAATAAATGGACTGGCATATTGTTCAAACCCTAAGATATGACCGAAGGGCTAAGCGTTTCTACATTTGGGGCGCCAATGGCCCCCAGTGATTTTAATGCATCTTACCGACTCCCTGCGGAGCGGGGCATGGTATGCATGCATCTCATGACCTTGCTCTCCCCCACAAAACCCTAATTCAAAGGGAAACTTTTAACTCCATAAATGAATATTCAATACAAAAAAAGGAAAAAAAAAGTCTTTGAATGGTCGTGTGATGTTTCAATTCATTTAGTTTTGACTCTGAAGATAATAAGTTTTAGGACATGATCGGCGGCTATAATATGGTACCCTGTACACGTGATGCTCGAACTTAAGATCTCAAGAGATAATAATAAGTAATTTTAATTTCACAGAGGTCGTTAGGTGTAGTTTAGATTTCGAACAAGAGAATGCTCGATGACGGTGCAGTCGTAGATAAGAGTATAGCTGAAGTTATCAAAGAAGAGATTCCATCTCCAGCTCGATGCCAAGAGTCTGATGTTGGTGCCCTGGGTGTGGTGATGACAGAAACACAAGTTTAGACGAGTGTTGGAGTTTTTATGAGGTGCCATATCTGTTATCATATGGGTGTTTTGTGTGCTGGTTGGTGATTTCGTGGTTTAGTGGAAATTCTGGTGATAGTTTTCAACCTGGTTGGGGAGTACTCTTTTCTTCTATTTAGGTTTAGGGATGTATTTAATGAGGCTCACAACCTAGGCTTAAGGTTATCATATAGGCTTAAGGGATGTATTCGTGTCCTTTTATCAAGAACGTATATGTATTTGATATGTTTTAGCATCATGGACTAATATTATATATCCTATGAAGATTATATGTGATATACATAAGTAATGTCCCTTTGTATTGTTTCAATCATGCATTTTTGTTTTCTTTGGAAACTTGTCCCTGCATTGCCCGCTAATAAGGACGAGAAAATGATCTATAAATTAATAACAAAGATAATTATATTAAGTTCCACCCCATTTGTTCTTTAATTGGAGAGTTTCGTGAGTTGGAGAATAAGATTTAAAAATATCATAATTTATTTCATATTTTTAATCTTTGTAACAAAATAATAATTATAATACTAGTAACAGTAGTATAATTTGATAAAAATACAAAAAAAATCTTATCCGTGATTTAAATCACTAATAAATTCATAGATAATTGAGATTTAATTCAAAAATAAATATGACGCCAGACAGAATAGTGATTATCCTGTAGGCTAGCTCCGACAGACGATTCACAAGAGAAAATTCGCCCAAAAACCAGAGAAAAAAAGTCTCTAGGGTTTAATAAAATATTATAAAATCAATAATTGTCTCAAAAACAGTCCACAAGCCGGACTGTTATAGCAAAAAAATCGTCTTTATTCGAATTTTGCCAAAAATAGCAAAAATCGTATTTATTCGAATTTTGCCAAAAATAGCAAAATCCCGAAAATCACTCTAAATTGAAATTCGAAATAAAATAAGCAATCTCCCAAAAATCCGGTCTAAATCGGATTTAAATTGACTTCCTAATTAACAATCGAAATATTACCATAAATAGTAAAAAATAACTAAATCTAGTGATTCGGAGGGGAAAACGGCAGAATTTGAGGTTGAAAAAAAGGCCACTTGGAGCATAGCTCAATGTGGAGAGCGTGCGCGTCGAAAAGAGCTTTCCGGATTGGGGTCTTATGCGCGATTCTGACACCTGTAGCCAAAGTTATGGCCAAAAGACTGAAACATACTCAAAACGACCCCAATAAGGAACATGTCACAATCAATTCCCGCCTTTGCGCTGATCTGCCAACTCATGGTATCTCAGCGCCATCAACGTGCAATCTGACAGCTCAGCATCATCTGTCTCGGATCCCCCTGCATCAAAATATAAACAACAAATCCGTATAAAATAGTATATTAACTCATTTTATAAATAAAAAAAAATTAGGGTTCATCCAAATTAAGGAGATGTAATCTTTTGGAAGACCGAAATTTTCAACTTATCTCTTAAAAAATATATTTTTTTCTTAAACACTCAAACTAGAGCCAGTTGGATCTAATTTTTTTATTTGATTTTCTTTTTATATTTTAAATAAATTTGAAACGGATTACCTCTAAGATGATATAGAAAATAGGTATAATATGAAGAAAAAAATCAGTATTACTTTAATGAGGCTATATTTGTTAATAATTTTTTTTATTTCAATGGAAATGATATATATATATATACACACATATTAAAATATATTATTATGTATAGATTATGTCCAGATCACTTATTCTACCATAAACCTAAATATTTTGGTCGTAATCATAATTGTAAAATTAAAATAAGTTCAAACAAGTTTACATCACTGATTTCTTAAATTGTAATTAAATAATATCTTTATCAAATCAAAGAAAAAGAAGACTTTTATCCATAATTTCTAAAAGGGGGATTTGATCCAAAGCTAAATGAAGTTGGTAAATAAATATGTTGCATCATTTTCGATATTAATTTCAAAATGTCATTTTCATATTCTTAAATTTTCTTTTTTGCAAAAAAAAAAATCATTACATGAATAGACAGGGTATTGCTCACAGTACGAGAGCATGTTGGCTTAATACCTATGAATAAGTTCAAAAAAAATGAAAATCTCATTTTTATACCCTTTTTATTGCTTTTTTTACTTTTTTTGTCTGTCGACAAATGGATAAAGTAATCTTTTGTCTATGAATTTGATATTTTTTCAATTTAGTCCCTAACACTTTTTTCTGGCCCACATCCACATTAACTTGAACCTCAATTTTTGGCCATTTTGGCCATGTGTAATTTTAATTAAGATTGTTTCATGTGACTTAATATCAAAGCATTGAATCGTCAAAAAGATCAAAAATATTTTTGTGTCAAACTTAGAGAATAATGTAGATTAGAAGAGAGTTCATGGATTCAATTTAAAAAAACTAACAAGTTTATGTACTAAAATTTAGAGAATAATATTTTTATATTAGGGTAAACTATATATTTAATCATCGACCTATTTATTCGGTTTCATTTTAGTCACCTAACTATTTTTTTTAAATTCATGTTTAACTTTACTTTTTCATTCTGTTTTGGTCACCCGCCATTAAAAATAAACAAAACCATTGATGTGACAAATTTTAATTTTTTCAACGATGATGTGATAATTTTTAATTTTTTCAATGTAATATTATATTATGATGGCATGTCAACATTACCAATAATATTTTTAACTACAGCTGATCAAAACATAACATTATGAATGATTTTGGAGAAAATAGTTAAGTGACTGAAATGAAACTATGGAAATAAATGGGTGACTAAATACATAATTTAACCTTTATTTTATTGTCTTAGGGTTTATCAAATGCCTTTAAAAAGCTCATTTATGCAACACAAAGTTGAAACCCTCAAGGCTAATACCTTTTTTTTTTTTGAACATAATACCAAACTCTTTTTGTTCTTTTGTTCTTGTTTTGGCCCTTTGAGTATCTTTTTAAACAAATAACAATAAAACCTTTCTTTTTAGCTTTTTTTGTGTGAAAGATAAAGCAGCAGAGAAAAGAGGAAAAATGGCACTAGAAGCTGTAGTTTTTCAGCAAGATTCATTTAATCACATCAACAAAGATCTCTACAGCTTGTTAGAAGGGAATTCAAGCTATGAAGGCAAGCATTTTCCTCATCAAAATCAAGCATCTAATGAAGCTAATAATGATTTCGTCAACGGAGGTTATTGGGTTTCTTCCTCTTCACGAACTTCAATTGAAGCTACTAACAATGGTAATGGATCGTCCTCCGTTGTCGGCTCGAAGGCGATGGTCGAGACGGCTTCAACTCGTCCCAAGAGACGTCGCTTCAAGACTCGTAGAAACAAGGAAGAGATTGAGAATCAAAGGATGACTCACATTGCTGTTGAGCGCAATAGGAGGAGGCAAATGAATGAATATCTTTCTGTTCTTCGTTCTCTCATTCCTCAATCTTATGTTCAAAGGGTATTTTTCATTTTTCACTGGCTAAACATACATACATACATATATATATATATGATAATCATAAGTTTTTGTTTGGTTAGGGTGATCAAGCGTCGGTCATCGGAGGGGCTATCAATTTCGTGAAAGAGCTTGAGCACTGTGTCCAGTTGTTAACTGCTAAGAAAGATGTGAAGGAAAGGTCAGATGGAAGTACTAGCGGTTGTTCATCACCTTTCGACGAGTTCTTCATGTTCCCACAGTACTCGACTCCGGGCGACAATTATCCGATCCCGATGAACGAATCGACGGCGGCCGAGACTCGATCTGCCAGAGCAGACATAGAAGTCACCATGGTGGAGAGCCATGCAAACCTCAAAATAAGATTGAAGAATGGCCCGGCACAGCTATTGAAACTGGTTTCGGGTTTGAACAGTATGCGTCTCAGTATCCTCCATCTCAATGTCACCACAGTTGATCACACCGTACTCTATTCTCTCAGTGTCCAGGTCAGCATGTTACCGAAAACAGTATACATACATGCATACATACATATATATAGTCTTTATCTTTGTAGTATAATTTACTGTAATTGGATGCAGGTAGAAGATGATTGTAAGGTGACTGCAGCGGATGACATAGCTACAGCATTAAACCAGTTGCTAGGTAGGATTCAAGAAGATGCTGTGTTGAATTGCTTTTCATTCCATAATCCCCACTGTAATTTATAGTTTCTTCTTTATTTAGGGTAATTTGTAATTTGTTCACTTCTAACGCATATCTATCTTCCAAACGCAACTATTCAAATCGTTATATGTAGAATTTAGAATTGTCTTCTCCATAACTTTTAAGTTTGTCAAGGTACATGATAAATATAGATTAAAGGACAACTGTAATTGAAAGAATGTAAAATGAACCAAAGAGGATGTTTGATTACTATTTAGCTTTACACATGGACCAAAAAATCAACTTATTAACAAAAATAGATTGACTAAAAAGAATCAATTATGGTTGGGGACAATTTTATAATACGTAGAATTTGCTTTCCGTTTTTAATGTGTCGCTTTTCACATGCACAGATGCACTGCAGAAGAGTTTAAAATCCCCATGTAGGTGTACTATAAAATCATATTTTACTTATAAATTATACCCTCTAAGATTTATTTACTTATAAAATCATATATATATATATAATTAAAAGCATGTCAACTTTGCTAATTTGTCTTTGTGCTTATATATTATATGTATATATTACGTATAATTAGAGTCGGCCTTGGCCCAGGGCAGAAGGGACATCCACCTAGGACCCATAGACTAGAAGAAATTTTTAGTATAATAAATTAAAAAAGACTATAAAATAAAATAATGTGGCCCATGAGTTTATTAAGGTTAATAAATTGTTCTTTCAATTCCCACAAAATCCTAATTCAGTATTTCTTTTCTAAAATTCAATAAAAATCCAATTAATTCTATTTAATTTTGGAGATACCAAATTCCCACAATCAATCCACCAAATCTCTTTCTTAATTTTCCATATCAATGGAAAATTTTATTAATGCTATTTTTTTCTCTTCAAAATTTAATTGAAGGAAAAAAATTATGTTTAATTAGCATGCTTCTTTTCTCTTCATTAATTCACAATTCCTTTGAAAATCATTACTCTAGCATTTTAGTTTCTCATATTTCTCACAAACACAAAACACAAAATCACAATTATTTATTGTCAATTGCGATACTTGAATCATATTGAAGATTGTTCTTAAAATTTTAGGTGATATCATATTTCTAAATTCTTTCTTTTGATTTTTATATATATCTAAATTCTATATAAGATCATTCTTTTATTTCCAAATGCTATGTTATGCATTGAGAAGAAAAAAATTGTTGGAAAGTATTGATGTTGACGCTATCATCAATGATTTTGCATCAAGAAATGCACCAAGGCAATATCTTTTATAAGTATATGTATGTTTAAATATTTTTTTTATATTTTAATGAATGATTATTTATTTAATTTAATAAAATAAATTCAACAAGTTCTAATATAAATTTTGTATTACATATTTCTTAAATTTCTTTTGAATTAGGGGCTCATTTTTATAATTTAGCCCCAAGTTAAAAAAAAATAGTCAGGACCAACCATGTGTATAATATATGGTAAGTTGATAATTTTTTTGACATGTTCTAAATATAATCCTAATCTTACCTAGAGGAGAGGGGAAAGAGGACTCCAAGGAAGGCAAGTACTTCTATTGGGTTTAGAACCCATAACCTAAGAGAATATAAAAAAAATAAAGATGAGCAACTTGACCTCGATTAAATGTGTTTGCTCATTAGTATTTTATCATATAATATTTGAGCTAAATGATGCTTCAAACACTCCCGATGTGAAAGCATGTTTGTGTGCCTATATCATATGATTGAAATATGAATTATATACTTTTTTTAAGAAAACAAACCTCTTTAAAAACCCCTACTACCAACCCGAGGGTTAGGGTCCTAAAAAGGGAAAAGAGTACCCAACTATAATTTAAATTAGCCATTACAACATCCAGTACAAACCTAGGGACATCAGTCCCAAAAGAATAAAAGACATTACAATCCAATACCTTTTTTTGCTAAAGTATGGGCGACCTTATTCGCTTTTCTAGATATATACGAAATAGAACAAATATCAAAAGTGTTACATTTAGCACATATATCAACCATAGTTACCCCAATGGTGGAAAAATCACCTTCCAGATTATTTTAGTAGTTGACGATAGTAGATGAATCGAGTTCAATATGGATATCATGACATCCCTCCTATAAAGCAAGGTTGATAGCAACAACTAAACAAGTTAGTTTTACAAAGACGAGTTCGTGGATTCCACCTGAAGCCGTAGCTAAATCACCATGGACCATTCCTTGCGCGCTGCGCGCAATAACCCCAACTGTTGGCAACTGTAGTGACGGGTTATAGGCACCATCCGCATTCAACTTAATCACTTGTCTCACATCAGCAACATCATGTTGAGAAGGCCATTCTCAATGCGCCCCAATAAACTCTTGATGGAACGCCTTAGCATTAACAACAATTAGCCAAGTGGGTTGCATTCTACCCTTGTGCACCAAAGAATTACGACCATTCCAAACGTTTCAAAGTAAGACAATAACCTTTGCAAAGGGAACCAAACCAAGTGTAGTATATGCATTTTCTAACCAGACTAAAACAGATTGAACTGGTGAATTCAAGACTATACCTATAATACCGACCAATCGTAGGACTTTTCGAACATACGAACAATCTATTGTTGAAAATTCAATATTAGCCTAAATAAGTTCACACCTAAATTAATTTGATGTCATTGCTTACATCAATTTAGTTTTGATGTCATTGCTTACATCAATTTAGTTAGGTGAAAATTAAGTATTTTTCTCATGTTTTAATTTCAATGGTTTATATTATTTAGTGCTTATTTTAATGAGTGGTTTAGATTGTTTCTTGTAACCTATAAATACCCTACTTGTATTTGAGTTTTATCATCCAACAATCAAAGCTTAATTATAAGCATTTGAAAGCTTTCTTAAGAGTTCTTCCCTTTTGCAATTTTGTGAGATTATTCTAAAGAGTTTTTTTTCTTCTTCTCGATCAATTAGAGTTTTTACTCTATTTTGATTCAACAATTGGTATCCGAGCCACATTTTTAAGGTCTCTTGAAATTCTGAGTATGCTCTGTGGCTGTAGTTTTTAACTAATCTTCCACATCAGAAAATATTTCTTGAGTTATTGTCAGGGTTATTACAAACCTTGTGGAGTTTCTTTGTGTTTAGAGTAATTTAGTACTCTGCACGTTTGTTACTCAAGCTTGTTCGGTGTAGTCAAAGCCTTGCCGTTAAGATGGGTGATCTTCAAGTAGTTGGAGGGATCAAGAAGCTCAATAACAAAAACTACAACACGTGGGCAACATGTATGGAGTCTTGCCGTTAAGATGGGTGATCTTCAAGTAGTTGGAGGGATCAAGAAGCTCAACAACAAAAACTACAACACGTGGGCAACATGTATGGGTGATCTTACAAGGTCAAGACCTTTGGGAGGTTGTCGGTGGTGGTGAAGTTACACAACCGGCGACAGAAGATGCCAATGGAATCTTGCGAAAGTGGAAAATTAAAGCAGGCAAAGCAATGTTTGCTTTAAAGACCACAATTGAAGAAGAAATGTTGGAGCACATTCGGGATGCTAAAACACCAAAGGAAGCATGGGACACTTTTGTTACACTCTTTTCGAAGAGGAACGATACAAAATTGTAACTTCTCGAGAATGAACTTCTATCAATGGCGCAACGAGACATGGCGGTTGCCCAATACTTTCACAAGGTGAAGTCGATATGTCGCGAAATTTCAGAATTAGATCCGACAGCTACTATTGGGGAAGCCAGGATAAAAAGAATAATTGTCCATGGTTTGAGACCCGAATATCGAGGGTTTGTTGCCGCTGTACAGAGATGGCCGACACAGCCATTGCTTGTTGAGTTCAAAAATTTGCTTGCAGGTCAAGAAGCCATGGCCAAGCAAATGGGAGGAGTCTCGCTGAAGGGTAAAGAAGAAGCGCCCTACACTAGCAAAAGCATAGGCACTTTTCAGCGGTATACTGGCAGTGGATCTAAAAAGGATGGTGACAAGGTGAAAAATTACCAAGGAAAGAGAGGCCCTCATTCAGGGGGAGCATCCAAGAATCGCGGTAATAGTAGAAAGTTCGATGGCAAGTGTTATAACTGCGGGAAGATGGGTCACATGGTAAAAGACTGTTGGACCAAGAAAAAGCCTGTTGAAAGTAATACTGCTACTTCTTGTTCGAAGGAGAATAGTGAAGATGGTTGGGATGCTGAAGCGTTATTTGCTACGGAGGAAGAAGAATTAGCTCTCACGGTAACAACAGTAGAACGGATTGACTACAAGAATTATTGGATCATAGATTCTGGCTGCTCAAATCATATGACGGGTGACAAACAGAAGTTACAAAACCTGTCTGAGTATAATGGAGGTCGTGTGGTAGTGACAGCTGACAACTCAAGGTTACCAATAACTCACATCGGTAAGACAATAGTTACGCCTCGATATAATACTAACCAGGTGCAACTCCAAGATGTTTACCATGTCCCAGGAATAAAGAAAAATTTGCTATTTGTGGCTCAACTAACATCATCAGACCATTATGTCTTATTTGGTCCCCAAGACGTTAAGGTTTATCATGACGTCAAAATCTCAGAAACACCAACAATGGAGAGATGACGTTTGGAATCAATTTACGTGATGTTAGTAGAGTCTGCATATGTAGACAGGACAAGGAAAAATGAGACATCAGATCTATGGCACATGCAGTTAGGTCACGTTAGCTATTCCAAGCTAAGTGTGATGGTGAAAAAGTCGTACTTAAGGGGCTTCCTCAACTAGACGTGAGAAAAGACACGGTCTGTGCGGGATGCCAGTATGGTAAAGCACACCAATTACCATATGACGAGTCGAAGTTTAAAGCAAAAGAACCGTTGGAGTTGGTTCACTCTGATGTGTTCGGACCGGTTAAGCAACAATCAATTAGCGATATGCGGTACATGGTAACATTCATTGATGACTTCTCTAGGTATGTGTGGGTTTTCTTTATGAAAGAAAATTTTGATACTTTCTCAAAGTTTAAAGAGTTCAGAGACTCAGCTGAAGGAGAAGTGGGAAAGAAGATATGTTGCTTGCGCACAGACAACGGAGGAGAATATAGATCAAACGAGTTCTCTCAATACCTTAGGGAATGCCGAATACGTCATTAGTACACTTGTGCCAACACGCCACAACAGAATGGTGTA